CACGTGTACTAGGAATAAGCAAAAAAAAAAAAAACAATGTCTGCAAGGTCTGGGGAGAGGACAGCTCTACTCACCAACTCGCCATGTGTAAACAGCCAGGAAAACTGTGCTCGAATAATATAACTAAGATTTTATATATATATATGTAGTAGGCAAAACTTATTTCGTAAGACGCTATTCCAAAATGTTGTTCAAAAATACACTATAAGCGGAATAACGGTATATACGGGAAAAAAAAAAAATTTAGGAATGAGGCAAGGAAAATTTATCGCAATAAGCGGAAAAGAATTATTTAAGCATAATCATTATATAACAAAGTTTCCTGTACTTGATGTATGTTGATTCAAGAGGGAGTTCGTATATGTAACTGTCAGTTTTTATTTGCATCTAATAAAAAAAATCATTGAAAAAAACATTTAGAAAAGAGTTAATCAGTGGGAGAGACATACGTGTCCGTAGAATTATAAGAGTTAGAAAAAAAGCAATATTCCTAAAATTTATTCCAATCATTCCCTCAGAGTGGGATGTAATCTGTGATTAATGGTGGCAGAAATATTGCTCATAGAAGTGCTGCAGCCATTTCTGAGTGCATCGATCTCTGCGGCGGTGGGTTGCGGTCCTAGGTGGGCGCCAAACTGGGAGGACACTTCGATCTTACGTTCTTTGACGTCAATACCTCACCTAACCTAATCTTTCTCACCTAACCTAACTTCATCTCACCTCACCTAACCTAATCCTGTTACATACACTCCGTTTGGTTGCCTGTTCATATTCACAAGCAAATTGAATAGATCCGATAGAGTATTAACTCAACCAATATTTGCTTCTTTTATGTTGGACTTCGTACATTTCGGGGATTTTTGTCACAAGTAATGTTGTTTAGAACCTCTTGTAGAATGGATTGATGACACACCAGAAGCCTTAAAGGAAAAGCATCACGATCACTGAGAGAAAGGCTGATAAACAAATTATATTGTTTTTATGCATTTTAAAGGGAGAGGTTCCTCTTTTGGTACATAAATACACTTATGGACAAACCTTATGGAATTTTCATATTCTGATGTCGCCGGTCCTCTTTTTTTGAAGGAGACAGAGGCAATGTTTTCACACTTGGTTATCTCGTGTGTCTACAATAAAGGTCACTGTAATATCTTTCAGAGTTATTGTCTGAATGCCGATATAAATTCTAAAATGTACAACTTCCTTAAGTTTTGTCCTTGAGTGTATATTTCATAAGCACAAATTAAATTTTAAAATACTATCTATCGAATAAATTTTACAGTTTTCTGCATTAATATTTATTTTCGAATAAAATACTTCCGCAAACTTTACTGCGAAGAGATATAAAATAGGTTAGAGTGGTTAGTTCATCAGTGGTGAACCCTCTTGAACAAATTATTCTCCAAACCGCCTTACTATTATGTTGACACGTGGAAAATTAGGAAAGACAAACTTTAGGATGACACAGCAATTTATTTCAGGCAAGAACAAACTATGAGTGATAAACAAAAAATAGCAATGAGGGAAGTTTACAAAGTAGCAAAATATAAACACCAAAAATGATACTCTGTTAATAAAATAATAAATACTTTGTTACAATATTATAACAAAGTATTTATTATTTATTAACAGAGTATTATTTTTATGTTTTTATTTTGCTATACTCTGTATTCTTCCCTCTTTTGCTTATCACTCATAGTTTGTTCTTGCCTGAAATAAATTGTTGTCTTATCCCGAAGTTGGTCTTCCCTAATTTTCCACGTGGCATTTTGGTGGAGATGCTGGGTAAATTAGGGAAGTGAAACTGAAGATCGCCGAAAAGACCTAGAGGCCATGGGTGCTGTGATCTACATTTTCGGAGACTGGCTCCAGGATTCCACCGGCCGTGTCAAAGCCAAGACTTCCCTCAAAGATGACGATGTCCCTATAGACGATACGACGACAAAGCCGCTCTTCACGCCGCAAGAAAAAGGACGCAAAGGTACTAGGAACAAAGTTCCAAGACTTCGATGGAATCCTAGGCAGAAGCACGTCAGATCCATGTCAGTAACTACAATAATTGATAGCTTTAGGTCACAGCTCCCATAGGGAAGGAGCTATGTAACAAAGTATTATTTATTAGCAGAGTATTATTTTTTATGTTTTTTATTTTGCTATTACTCTGTACACTTCCCTCTTTTGCTTATCTTTTGTTTAACACTCATAATTTGTTCTTGCCTGAAATAAATTGTTGTCTCATCCCGAAGTTGGTCTTCCCTAATTTTCCTCATGACAATATGATAGTAGAGCGGCCTGGAGGTTAATTTGGCCAATCCGCTGAGAGGATGGGTTCACCACTGATGAGACAAACCTTCTTATCTACTCTGATTGTAGGCAAACATGCGGAAGTAGTCTTAAATATAAAATTATATACACTCATGGACAAAACTTAAAGCACCTTTAGCATGTATATCGGGATTCAGACAATATTATTGAAGACACACGAGATAACCAGTGTGAACAAAATTGCCTCTGTCTCCTCAAAAAAAAAAAAAAAAAAAAAAAAAAGACGACCAGCGACACCAAAGACTTTCTACTTCCTTATGTTTTGTCGCCATGAATGTATATCATATATCTTGACAGTATTTTATAAAATTAACAGTTTTATTCTTAACGTATATTCTCATATTGCTTGACTATATTTATCTCATTGTATGATTCTCATAGATAATCACATACTCAAACACTATTATATTAATATAAAATATATTTTCGACAACTTCTTACATCATTGATAAGATTGTCTGTAAGCGCAACACCCGCATTTACCGCTAAATGTTTAAGAGTAGATTGTGTGACTTTACATATATTGAAAAACACCTCAACTATATTTTTAACTGAATATTTAATTATTTGTAAACAGATTTTCAATATTTTGCTACACCATAGCTAACTTATCACATTGCCTGCTTCTCTTTTGATAATGCACAATTTGTATTATAGATTATAAACACAAGGTAATAAGGCCAAATTCAAATAAATAGTGTGTGACGTTTCGGTAACAGCGTTGTTACTATCTTTAGACAAAAGTGCTGATTCAGTAATTTTGTGGGAAGATGGTAACCAGGCTGTTACCGAAACGTCACACACTATTTATTTGGTCTTATTACCTTGTGTTTACTGCCTCTCTTTTATTTTATTTAAATAAAATTTATTGTTTTTAGATAAGAATAAATTGTCATACCTTCCTGAAGTTTGTTTTTTCTACATTTTCTATGAGTGTGACAAATGCTGGATAGATTAGGGACGACAGACTGAAGATCGCTGAGCAAGGTCTTGGATATTGCGGTTTGTATTTTCTGAAACTGACTCACTCGGCATTCTATTCCTCCGTGTCAAAGACTGGGGGTCGGTGGAAGGATGGTCTAAACCGTTGGTTTTCTACCGCTACAACCCGGGATCGAATCCCGCATTAGGCACTTTTTTCTAATATTTAAAAAAATGTTCCAATGGCCCCCGTTTCTTGCAAAAATCTAACCCCACCAGCGAGTGCAAGTAACCAAACGGGGCTCTGCACACTTGTAGGTGCAAAATTCGAACTGCTTTTCACATGTATAGACATGTGATGAACTAATAGTAAAAGCAGTCGCTAACTTCTACCCACCATGATTATCATGGCCTGTACCATATGTACTAGGGATAATAATAATAATAAAAAACAAAGACTACACGAAGACCCTATGTCGCTACGACAACAAAGCCACATTTGTGATTTAATGCTTCCATTTCTTATATATAGATAGCACGTTATCACCTTATAATTAATTTATGTCTAACTGGCCTTGTACTTATTGTTTGCGGAAGAGAAATGCAAATATTTATTTGAATTTCTTCTGTCCTAAAAGCTTATGTACATAGTTTTCTTGAATGCCATTTCTAATATTCCACTCTTCATTGCAGCATATATAAGCAGAATGATCCAATACAGTTATAGAGCTCTGAGAAGCGGTCTGGTAGAATTGGTGAAACCGCTGGAAGGGTTCACCACTGATGAGCCAAGCCCTCCCAATAATTTTAATAGCAGTAAGGATAGTAGAAGTTTGATAGTAGAAGTTTGTTTTAGGTGTATAAGAAATATTCGTGTTTTAATGCTTTTATTTCTTAAATAAAGATGACATCGCTAAGGAGCGGGAGGAGCTAAGAAACAACACAGTTATTATGTTGTTGTTGTTGTCGTGTCCAAAGAAGAGCCTCAGATGTCTCCATGCATCTCCATCACAGCAGCAGCAATATCCACTATCTTGGGTGTGTAAAGCTGCTGCTCTGGGTCTAAGTCAATTTTCTGCAAGGCTGCGGCCATTGCTGGGCATGAGAATATGTGGGTAGGTGTTAGTTCCACACCAGGACAGTTGTTGCACGCTTTATAAGTTCTTGTGCCATCTGGATGTATTGTCATTCCTAGTTATTATTTTGTTAACAGATTAATAACATTTTGCTACAGCGCATAATTTATGTGTTAGCGCGCAATCTGTTATGAGAAATTTTAACTATTTTTGATATTATTTTTGAAATTAAACAAATTTCTACTGCCCTTATTGCAATGAAATATTTAAAGGAGGGCCTGGCTCATCAGTGGTGAATCCTCTCAGCGGTTTCGCCAGTTTAATCTATCATATCGCTGTAATATTGCATTATATCACTGACTGGTTCACCACTGATGAGCCAGGCCCTCCCATTATTTTATCATTGCAGTAAGGGCAGTAGAAATTGTTTTATTTAAAAAAAAAAGGATCATAGGAGTCAAAAATAGTTCAAATTTTCCTTAATTGTTAATTGAAGGTTTATAATACAATATAATACGGCTTATGTTGTAGAACGACATTTAAAAATTATCCCGCATGTGTTTCTTTTGAACGAAAAATCGAAATTTATTTTTAAGGAGAAATAACGATTATTTCTAACCTTAGGGATGAAGTATGAAAGGATGAATTGTGAAGAGTAATGATAAACGGAAAAATAAAGTGTCCAGGGATGGGAATCGAACCCAGTGTTCCGCTTACCGGGCAGATGCCATGTCCACTAGGCTTATTGGAGATTGTTGGATCAAATTAAATTGAACCTTACCATCCTAGCATTTGTATTTGCTGATTTTTCGACGTGATTCAAAAATGGCGTTTCTCTATCAGCATCTTCATTTATCTCACAGAGGATTAAATACTGGGTGATCTTCCTGCTGGCAAAGTACTACACTTCCTCATCTAAGAATCCTTTTTACTTTTCTCCAAGAAAATCACATCAACTTTTTAAGAAGAAGCTACTTACAATGTGTACACCATGTAAACAAAAGATTAAATTGCTAAATTATATGTTTACATCTTGTTGTGTTCTCTATCTAACAAAAATAGCACTTGACGAACACTATAAGGTATAAACCACTTATTTCTATAAATAAGATACTTTCACTCTCCTCTTACACTCTATATACATCCAATCATTTTTACATATTTTATTTTCTATCAGAAAATTAATACATATTTACATATATGCTGCATTTTTTCTTTAAGAATAAAATTTGCATATGGAATCATTACACATCTTATTGTGGAATAAAGGAAATCTATCTTCTCCACAATTGGCAATTTTACTTTCCCCTGTTATTTGGGTTAATAGGTATTTCAGCTCTAAGTGGATAGAAATTGTTTGAATCTGCTAAAGATAAAAAAAATAAACTATTGGACACTGAAAAAGCTGTGTAAATATTGTCTTTCCGTCTTCATTAGTTTTCTATTATTTCGTTTTGTCTAGAAGAATTGTGTAAAGGGATAGCGATGATAAAAAAAAAAAGGTTTTTGTGTGTATAAAAATAGCGATAACTTGGTAGCGGTATTGTTAGCGTGATCTAATTCTAACAATGAAGACAATAACACTGTTGATGAAACTGTAGGTGGGTACACCTGGCGGCAGGACTGAGCTCCAGGATGCTGGCACGAGTCAATAACTTGACACACGCTGTGGGAATCCTGAGGAGCCACGTTGGACATCCGCCAGTATTCTGCTGGAATGTGTCCAGATGTATGGCACATCATAGCAAGTTCATGGTTGTTAGAACATGAATGGAAGCTATACAATACTTTGTTGGTGCGATGTATAACCGCTTCTGTGTGTAGACATGTGGTGGATTTACAGTACAAGTGTGGTGTACTTGCAATACAAGTGTGGTGTACTTACAGTACAAGCAGTCACTACCCACCGTGGTCTGGTACTACATGTGTAGACATGTGGTGTACTTACAGTACAAGCAGTCACAACCCACCATGGTCTGGTACTACATGTGTAGACATGTGGTGTACTTACAGTACAAGCAGTCACAACCCACCATGGCTTGGTACTACATGTTTAGACATGTGGTGTACTTACAGTACAAGCAGTCACTACCCACCATGGTCTGATACTACATGTGTAGACATGTGGTGTACTTACAGTACAAGCAGTCACAACCCACCATGGTCTGGTACTACATGTGTAGACCTGTAGTGTACTTACAGTACAAGCTGTCACTACCCACCATGGTCTGGTACTACATGTGTAGACATGTGGTGTACTTACAGTACAAGCAGTCACTACCCACCATGGTCTGGTACTACATGTGTAGACATGTGGTGTACTTACAGTACAAGCAGTCACAACCCACCATGGCTTGGTACTACATGTTTAGACATGTGGTGTACCTACAGTACAAGCAGTCATAACCCACCATGGTCTGATACTACATGTGTAGACATTTGGTGTACTTACAGTACAAGCAGTCACAACCCACCATGGTCTGGTACTACATGTGTAGACATGTGGTGTACTTACAGTACAAGCAGTCACAACCCACCATGGCTTGGTACTACATGTTTAGACATGTGGTGTACCTACAGTACAAGCAGTCATAACCCACCATGGTCTGATACTACATGTGTAGACATGTGGTGTACTTACAGTACAAGCAGTCACAACTCTTTACCCACCATGACGCATGTGTTTAAATCTCCCTTGGAACTTTGTCGAAATCAAACCAATCAATAGACTTTTATTAATAATTTAGTCTTAGATACCGATTATCCTGAGAGATACAGAGAAGAAGTGGAACGCAAAAATAGGAATATAGAAATTCGAATATACAAAGTTATATATTGTTATATAATACACAGACACACATAGGTTATAAGTATTTTCCTGTCCTCCTCGTTATACACATATTCCCCATGTAAGTTATGAGAGAGAGATTAAAAACATTTTATTGACCACACAAGTCAATGGTAGATAGAAGAAATAATATTCCAAGTTACAGTACCGGCTTGGCACTTTGATAAATAGAGAGAGAAAAAAAAAAAGAAAGAAAGTGAGAAATATACAATTATGTTATATCAAGGAAGCTCTTTTGGAGAGGGAAGAAATACTTGAAATATATTAAAGCGACACTTCTGTAAAAAAAACAACCGTTTATTTAAAAAGATTTTGGTGAAGCTGGGAAAAGCAGTTAGCACAAAGGAATCGAGAATCTATGAAATCAACACTGTAGAAAACGGTGATTACAATGAGTAGAGTATATAACAACAATTTTTAGAAATTTCGAGATATCTATTTAGACTTGTACATGCTTGTTCAGCGGTACAACTACTACAATTGGAAGGATACAGAGAAGATTACATGGTCCCTTCGCAAGGATGGCACTTAAAATCGTGAAGCGTTCTATCTAGACTTGTACACGCTTGTTCAGCGGTACAACTACTACAATTGGAAGGATACAGAGAAGATTACATGGTCCCTTCGCAAGGATGGCACTTAAAATCGTGAAGCGTTCTATCTAGACTTGTACATGCTTGTTCAGCGGTACAACTACTACAATTGGAAGGATACAGAGAAGATTACATGGCCCCTTCGCAAGGATGGCACTTAAAATCGTAAAGCGTTCTATCTAGACTTGTACACGCTTGTTCAGCGGTACAACTACTACAATTGGAAGGATACAGAGAAGATTACATGGCCCCTTCGCAAGGATGGCACTTAAAATCGTGAAGCGTTCTATCTAGACTTGTACACGCTTGTTCAGCGGTACAACTACTACAATTGGAAAGATACAGAGAAGATTACATGGTCTCTTTGCAAGGATGACACTTAAAATCGTGAAGCGTTCTATCTACACTTGTACACGCTTGTTCAACGGTACAACTACTACAATTGGAAGGATACAGAGAAGATTACATGGTCCCTTTGCAAGGATGATACTTAAAATCGTGAAGCGTTCTATCTACACTTGTACACGCTTGTTCAGCGGTATAACTACTACAATTGGAAGGATACAGAGAAGATTACATGGTCCCTTTGCAAGGATGACACTTTAAATCGTGAAGCGTTCTATCTAGACTTGTACACGCTTGTTCAGCGGTACAACTACTACAATTGGAAGGATACAGAGAAGATTACATGGTCCCTTTGCAAGGATGATACTTAAAATCGTGAAGCGTTCTATCTACACTTGTACACGCTTGTTCAGCGGTACAACTACTACAATTGGAAGGATACAGAGAAGATTACATGGCCTCTTCGCAAGGATGACACGTAAAATCGTGAAGCGTTCAATGTAACAACACACTGGATGTCGTCCTCCATATGTCTGGAGGGAGGGAATTCTGGTGACATCCTGCAGTTCTATTTCTGTCCCGCTGTCAACCCCCTACTTCCTCCATCTTTGGTGGTGCCTTCATTACTGGCACTCGCAGGTACCTACCTCCGTCTCACCAGCTTGTAAGAAACCTACTCCCTTACAATCCGAAGACAGAATTCTTTATTTAAAAGGTACCTGTCTTAAGCAGCCAGTCACCTAGTGAATCAAGTAAAGATGGCTGAACAAGCCATCTCTTCACATAGGTTCAGGCAATAAGAGGATAGTAAGTTACTGGAAACACATGGTTAGAACCAAAAAGAACTAGATCCTGGTCAAATGTTACTGTGCTCAATTATGTTATAGTGAATCGTCGAAAATGTGCTTCCTCATAGCAGGACCATGCCGAACTCTACATAAAGAACGACTTTAAGAAGAGATACCATAAAATAGAGAGGTTTATATGCAAACATGGAAATTTATTAAGATGATCCATCCATAATTTTAAAACTATGTTTTTGATTTTTACTAAAGTAAAGGTGTAGTAAAGGTGATACTAGGGTGATGCATAGTGCATTGTTCTGATGAATAATTAAAGGAAGAGATGTCTCTTTTGGTACATATACTTGTATATACTATATATATATATATATATGTATATCCTTTTCTTTCTTTTTTTTTGCTGTGAACTAGTGCTTTTTCTACCCTTTCCCATACTTACGGGAATCTGTAAATAAAAGAGAGAGAGAGAGAGAGAGCAGGAGGAAACTATATGTATATTGTAACAAAGTATTTATTATTTTATTAATAGAGTATCATTTTTGATGTTTATATTTTGCTACTCTGTAAACTTCCCTCTTTGCTTATCTTTTGTTTATCATTCATAGTCTGTTCTTGCCTTTAAAAAATTGCTGCGTCATCCTGAAGTTTGTCTTTCCTAATTTTCCAAATGGCAATATAATAATATATAAAAATAGTTCTATATGTACATATTTCCCGTATTCCCGCATCTCTCAGGAGAATCTGTATATAAGACTTAAGGTCAATAAAGGGATTGATTGATTGAAAGATATAAAATCTTAACATATAAGACCCAGAGGCTGTTGTTGGGTTCTGTGCTGCCTGGAGTATAGGAGCTCCATCTATGCTTCCTTCCTGAAGTAAATCTGTATAAGACCTGTGGTCTTAAAAAAGCGCGTATATGAAATATTTAATTGAAGAATCTTATAATATTATTATAGAGGGGGGAGTGTTCCTGGAGCATACATAATGTCGCCAGCTGTCCTTCAGACCTTTGTTATCTTTGTTTTATTCACCTGTGGAAGTTCAAGACACGATTTATTTCTTGGAAGATTTTTTTCTGGAATGCCAAACTTAGATATGTTAGAAGGAGCTCATACATTCTAGAAAGAGATATTTATAACCCAGGTTCCTGGAGCGCAGAG